ACAATGCGCCCGGACGTGCTCTAGACCTGTTCGAGCTCCTGACGCTTCGCTGACCATCATGGCCAGCTCGTGGACTCTTGTTCCAAAGGGGTCTGGCGGGGCCCATTGTCCGCTAGTGCCATACCCGGCCGCCAGGCAGTCAAAGCGGATGGTGCAATCAACCGCAGGATGCACACTGCGGAACTGCAGCAGCCACAACATCGCCGCCGCAAGGGCCACCTGTTCTGCTCGCAGTGCCTGCGCATCATTTGCTCCCTGCAGATCCCAGGCGCAGGCATCGTTGCCGAGCAGCTGTCCCCCCAGGGCTCCAAGGATAGCGAGCAGCGCCCCGCAGCGGAGCAGTATAACCACACCAAAGCCACTGCGTCCTGCTGTCTCGTCCGCGGAGCCGTCCGTGTAGAGGAGCAATTCTTTTGTAGTCGCATCCTCCGTTCCAAACATGACCTCGGACCAGTGGCTCGTGGCCGCAATCTCCTTGCGAATTTGGGCCGGGAGGTCCAGGGCTGTCAGCTCAGTCTGCATCCATGTAGGGCTCCACGGGCGAAAAAGGGCCTTAAGTCGGTGCCAGTCGTGCGGGAACTCCACAGTGGAGGCCGTGAGGTCGTAGACGGGCACCGGGATCGCCTCGCTGAGCTTAACCACAAGCTTGTCTTCCTGGCCTCGCCCTGGATCACGTCGTGGGGACCTGCTGCGCGTCGCCGGGGCAGGGGGCGGTGGCCCACGTGGCGGGGCGCTGTGGTTCGGTGCAGCAGAGCTCCCCGAAGAACTGGGCTCCATGTCGTGGTCGGGCTGCCCGGCAGAAACTGAATCACTGTCATCTTCGGTGGCTTCCTCCTCCGAGGTGGACAGGGATGACGAGGAAACCATGTGCATCTCAATCAGCTCGCCGTCCCTAATCCGGATCTGGGTTTCCCCAACAGGCTCTCCTCCTCGTACCGTCAGTGTCCACCCAGTCAACTCCGGCAGCTGCAGGTCTTCGTAGTACGCAGCAGGATCGAAGATCCCCCCTGGGACCCGGACCCACTGAGAGAAGCAGCCGAGTCCGCGTAAGTCCAGGTAGGCGATGGGAACTGGGTCCTCCCTTGGCCAGTCCCTGTCGATGACAGCCACGGTACCGCCAATGTATCTGCCTGCATGTGCGAGACGGGGTATCTCTTCAGCCGGGAGCTTCACATAGTAGGCGCCGGGGAAGAGGTCGCGGGCAATATCCATATGACCCATTAGTTGCTCTGGGTCATTGCACTCGTTGTTGTGCACGAGCTGCTCCTGTGTGGACTGGTAGACAGTGAAGTCACCCGGCATCGGTTCCGGTAGCTCACATTCAGGATCCCACTTCTCATCATCAGTGAGTCTGTCTACCAGGAGGTCTTGCCACTCGCAGACCTGGCCCCGAGGGAGGATCTTAAGGACACCTCCTAGCACCGCCGGTATTGGGTGCTCTGGTTGCAGTGCAAGCTGGCTCCCGAAGGGATACACCTCAAGGTTCTCAACATCAAAGTCCTCTACGTACTTGAGGGCAGCCTCCTTGCCAATTTCGCCCTCATGGTAGAAGGCGAAGGTGGGGCCGTCGATCTCGCTGGCATCCAGGATCAGCACCGTCTGGTTGGCTTGCTCAAGCCAGCCCGGGCATGCAACAAAGCTCGCGTAGCCAGGTCCCAGCTGGGGCTGTGTGGCAACAATCTCATCGGCCCAATCAGGAATTACATAGTAGGATTCCCGCAAGGCTCTCTTGATGCGGTGCTCGTCGAGGGGGAACTCCATCTCCACATCAACGACCTCAGCCTCGAAGAAGGGTGTGGCGGTCCAAAGTGTGACGTGGACATCGGTCAGGCCGCCGATAACACGAACCGCATCATCTTGAAGCTGCGCTTGCAGTTCCTCACCTGGCGCAGCAACAAAGAAGTCAGGCGGCGGTGCCTCGGCTTGAGACTTTTCAAGAGGCACACTGTGGGCCCGGGTCGCCCGTGCCTGCGCTGCTTGCTCCCGTAGGGAGAGCTGTCCACTGCTCCAAAGCTCCAGGTCCGTTTGTCTCGGGACACCGGTCCGTGTCCAAGTCGTTCCGGCCGGGGCATCGGGCGCAGCCGAGGCGTGCTGCACCGCAACGATGGCAATGCAGAGTTTGCCGATGTGGCCCTTGAGGGCCTTTCTCCTGCCCCGGGTGGCCTCGTGGAGCAGGGCCAGGAGCGTGCCGAGGTACACAGCCATCAATGTGCACGCCGCTCCTGCCATCTTTATCTGGTACTCCTCCGCAGCCATCACGAAGCCATTCCCCATGGCTTGAGCAGCGTCGGAGAAGACGTCCAGAATGTCGAAGTACTTCTTCTCGATGTCGGCGGGTTGAAGCCGGACGTGGTCTCCCGCAGGACCGTGCCGCTCAGCTCCACCATTACCATCAACGAGGGCGCGGCAATGGGAGTTCCGCGCCTCGTAGTTCGAATTGCGACACAGGCCCAGGGCGGGCTCTGCGTCTGGGACAGGGCACTGCCTTGCCATACCAGGCAAGCTTGTGCCACATTTACAAAATTGCCCAGGAACTCGCCGAAAAAGTCCTGGTAGATCTGCAGGATCTCCGCCACGGTCGCCACCGGGCAGCCCTCCTTTATAATCGCCACAGTTCCGCAGGCGCTGTAGCTCTGAGTCGGGGGCATTCATTGGGCCGCTCGTCGGCAAAGTGCCGCTCATAGTGACTCCCTGTCCATCCCCTACTCCACATTCTCTGCCCTGGTGGCCTTCTTCTCGTTGGCGGCGAGTTGACCAAGCAGGTCCTCTTCGTCGTCTTCGTCTTCCGAGTCGCCGACTTCCGCAGCTTCCAGGCCCGCCTCGCGTCGCTTCTCCTCGAGCTTGCGTGCGCAGGCCTTCTCCAAGGGCTGCTGGGAGGCCTTCCTTCCAAGGCACTTTACCGGCGTCCTTGCCAGCCTGGGGCGGGATCGCGACGATCCCCTGGTAACCACTGGCATCTCGGTGATCCTGGACGGGGAGTGCATGTAGGGGGCCGCATCCGTACTGCTCAGGGGCGCGGCGTCGACATCCATGGCCTTGCCAGTGGTCTCCCCTGTCTCTGCTACTCCGGTGGTCTGGTTCTTCTTGTCCCCGGGTGGCGTTCGCTCTGAGTAAGTCCGGCGTCTGCTCGTCGGGGTAGTCGGGGCCTGCTTGCGTCGGTGCTCCTCCAAGGCCTCCAGGATCCGCTTTCGTCCGCTGGCCTCCTCCAGGTCGCCGTTGCTGAGGGCAACCGCCAGCATGTTGGAGAGCTCGTCTCCTTTGCGTGCCGCAGGTGCCGCAAGCAGCTGGGCAAGCTCCTCGAGGGCCTCCTCCTGGTTCGGCTCGATCTTCACCTTGAGGGCCTTGTCGGGCTTGGCCAGGACGTCCTTGAGCTCCTGGAGCGCCGTGGCCTTCAGCTGCTGCGTCTCCTCCATGTCGGCGGCGTACTTGGCAATCTTGTCCTGGTACTTCTTGCGCTCCTTGAGGAAGCTCGCCTGCAGGGACTGCTTGAACTCGTCCCACTTTGCGTCCGTATCCTCGTGGAGCTCCTCGAGCTTCCTGGCACGGCCCTCCGCCTTGCGGTAGCTGTTTAGAATTCTCTGCACGCCGTTCATGTAGTCCGTGACCACCGGCACTCCAACCTCTGGCTCGGCTGCGCCCGATCCCCGGGACTGCTGCGGCCGCGGCTGCATCTCCTCGAAGCTCGGGAAGTAGCTGGGGCCGTCGCTCGGGTACTCTCGCTGTCGGCGCCCATGTGGTGGCTGTCCCCATTTGCCAGCACCCTTGTATCCACGCGCAGAGGAGGAGGCACCCTGTTGTTGCCACTCCCAGTTGTCCGTGCGGCCTTGCTGTCTGCCGCTCCATTTGTCACGACCACGTCCGCCCATCAATTCGCGGAACTGCGGCTTGCTGTGGTGGTTCGCGAGGGTGTAGAGGGCCTTGATCGGCGGAGCCAGGCCCAGTGATCTTGCCGTGTGCACGGCAAGTCGAAGTCTGGATCGCTTGGCACGTAGACGCCGGTGCCACGGTGGGGAGCGAATGGCTGCTACGTGAGCGTTTAACTCACTGGGGCCTCAGGCTATGCTCACGGTGGAGCTCGATCCCAGATCCCTGGGGGGCACCATACATATATATATATATATATATAGTTATATACGTGTGTGTGTGTGTGTGTGTTTATACAGCGAGCAAATTTCATGTTTGATGCTTAACCCGTATGTACATGGTCATTGTACCATCGCGGGCTGCAGACGTTGCTGGGTTGTGGCTGGGTGTACAGCAGGATGGGGTGTCGTCAGTCAAGCCTGCATGCATCGGAGAACTGTACCAGGTCTCAAATCCTTAAAATCCCCTCAACCCTAAACCCAAACCTTTCCCAAACCCAAAACCCGAAATGCTAAATGCCTAATCGTCGCAAACCCGTAAGAACTAATCAACCTCAAACCAGGACCCGAAGATGCCTTGAGACCTGGAAAGCCCCAAGGTCTTAGTCACCCGGGCTCCGGCAACTGCACAGTTTAGGTTTAGGGTCTAGGGTTTAGGGTTTAGGGTTTAGGGTTCAGGGCTAAGGGTTTAGCCACAGCTGGGGTTCGAGGTTTCAGTTGACTGGGACTGGCTTTGCCAGAACGAGGCAGTCGGTACCGCTGCACCCTTGCATAGTTCCGTTGTAAAGATGTTTTGACCCGAAACCACATGGTCTAGTTTAGGGGCAGGCTTCGATATGGCCTCCGAGGCATATGTACTTACTGGGACTTCAGCTGCTTCGACCTTGGCTTTGCGAAAGCATGCACTTGATAAACAAGGGGAGGGACGAAAGCTCTACAATTATACATGCAAAAGGAGCTAGGTCGTTTAGAGCGCCCGGACAAAGTTCCTAAGCCCGAAGCACGCGAAATCATGAAGACAAAGCCTTATGCATGAGGCTCATCCTGAACTAAGGGTGTTTGTAGGGCTCAGGCATGTACCACCCTGAAAAAATCCCTAGGTTCAGGATGAGAGGTTAAAATCAGCTTGCCGGTCAGGCACACCAGGGCCATTTCTATCACCAGAGTCGTCGTCGTGCCGCTGCCTTAGGGCATCAACTGTTTCGGTTTAGGGTTTAGGGAAGTGTTTCGGTTTAGGGCTTAGGGTTCGCTCCTGGACCTCCCTTCCATCCTGGACATCCCATGCATCCAGAAGCTTCACTGACCTTTGTCATTTCCAGGTCAAGAGCTGCGGTCTTGGGGGGGGTCTATTGTAATATAATTAGAATAAGGAACACCCAAAAACCTATTCTAAATATTAAGGCCCCTGTATTACCCTTTATCATGTTTGAACTACCCCCGTCCCGCATTAGGGCATCAAGGACCACAGGAGCTGTAGGAAGGATGCCTCGAGCTTTGGTGGGGTCCTCAACTAGCGGGCGTAGTCTCTTGGTAAGACTTCAGGAGGCTTGGCAGAAGCCTCTGGGCTTCTGGTTCCGCGGCTTCGGCTTCACAGCAGTTCGGCAAAAGCAAGTCCTCATAACATCCTAAACAATCCTAAGGTCCTAGACCCGAAAAGCCAGAGCCCACAGCCTGGGCTGTGCTGGGACCTCCGTCCAGTGCAGAGGAGATCGAAAGAAGTTAGAAAGGCGACCCTCTTTAGGGTGTTTAGGATTAATAAATCGGGACAACACCAAATCTCCGAGATTTGAAGAGAGAGAGAGAGAGAGAGATATATATATATATATAATATGTACATATGTATATATGTATATATGTATATATGTATATATGTATATATGTTTATATGTATATATGTATATATGCATATATGTGCATATGTATATATGTATAT